AAATACCTGTCGGACATGAGCTTCGTCCACAGAGACCTGGCCGCTCGCAACATCCTGGTCAACTCCAACCTGGTCTGTAAGGTGAGACACCTGTCTGTCTGTCCACCTGTCTGTCTGTCTGTCCACCTGTCTGTCTGTCTGTCTGTCTGTCTGTTCACCTGTCTGTCTGTCTGTCCACCTGTCTGTCTGTCTGTCTGTCTGTAACAGTTGTGAACACTGTTTGTTTCCAGGTGTCAGATTTTGGTCTCAGCAGGTTCCTGACTGAAAACTCGTCCGACCCGACGTACACCAGCTCTCTGGTGAGTTCACTGTCTCAGACTCTGTGTTGCTACGACGACACTGAAACAGCTGCATGAAATTAAAAACATTGAATATTAAAAGTTCTATCACATTTATGCAGGAAGTAAAGATTAATCAGAAACTGGTGGTTTAATTTTTTGGTGAGTGACCTAATTTGAAGGGTGTTTCCTGATGAGATTTAAAGCGACAGTACCTCTGGTAATGGTGCTCTGCTGTGATAGGCTCTTTTACATCTTATCAAGCTTCAAGACTTTCTGGTTGTGTAGAGGGCGTCCGCGAGGTCGTCCAGGATGAATGGAGGAATAATGGCACATAACTAACATTTCTAGGGTTAAAAACATAATATACTTTATAATAAGTGGTATAAATAATTGCACTATTCTAATAGTAATTAGATAATAATCAATAATAATTTATTGTAATGGAACATTGTCACATTAGAATAGACTTGTTACTTATTAATTGTAGTTAAAACACTTTTTGTAAATACTTGTGACGCCACACAACACATGACACTTTTTACACATTTTTGTTCTCACTAGTTTTTGTGTTAGTGTTGAATTAAGTTATTAACGTCACCGAGCAGTTAGCAGCTGCTAAATTAGCCTGATTTACATGTGGATCCTCCTGCTCCTTTAGATTATGTTTCACTTTATTCAGTGTCTTTGAGGAAGGTGTCCTGTCCTCAGCCGTAAATCCTCAACTGACCAATCAGCACTTCACTGAGGAAGACCTTGTGAGCACCCTCTAGGTGAACTGCAGCCAATATCAATACAGGCAGATCCACAGGAAGTGCATGGGCTCTGGTTCTGACACCTTCGTCCTCTTAAAGCTACAGGTCTTTGTTCCGTGTTGTTATTTGGACTGTAAGTGTTTGCTGTTCATCTCTGTTTTGATGAGTTGGAGTCCCTCAGGGTTCTGTTGTCGGTCCTCTGTTGTTTAACACAAGCACACTATTCAAATAAACTTGGTCTAAACAGTTGACAGAATATCACTATTTATCCAGATTCAAGTTTTTATTTTAAAAGATTTGTCTCCAGCATCTTTTCATGAAGTAACCGACTCTGTCTCGTTTCTCAGGGAGGGAAGATTCCTATTCGATGGACAGCTCCTGAAGCCATCGCCTACAGGTGAGTATCACCACACTTCATTGAGCTTCTGTCATAGAATCGCCCTAATATTCAGTTCTGTCATGTTAAAGTCGTTAGTTATTGATTATTAAATTGACTGACTGATTACAGGAAGTTCACATCTGCCAGTGATGCGTGGAGTTACGGCATCGTCATGTGGGAGGTGATGTCATATGGAGAACGACCATATTGGGACATGAGCAACCAGGATGTAAGAAAAATCTTTATTTATTTAAAGCTGATAAACGACAGCTGTCTGTCGCTCACTTGTCTCACTCACCTGTCTCTCTCTCTCTCTCTTTCAGGTGATCAACGCCATTGAGCAGGACTACCGCCTGCCCCCGCCGCCGGAGTGTCCTGCCTCCCTCCATGCGCTCATGCTGGACTGCTGGCAGAAGGAACGAGCCAACAGGCCGAGGTTTTGTGATGTGGTGGCGGCGCTCGATAGGCTGATCCGTAACCCCGCCTCCCTGAAGTTGACTCACACGGAGGGCCCGAGGTGAGGCTCGCTAAGCAGAGAGTGGAGGGTTTGATTGGCAGCTGTGGAATTTCATTCATGCACCAGCTGGTGGCTTCTGGGGTCAAAGGTCAGATTCTGCAATGGAGACACAGTCAGTGGGTGGGGCTTGTGGGGCAGCCAGCTGTGTGATTGACAGCTGTTTACGCAGACATGGTTGTTTACATGAGCAGGTGCAGAGCGTGTCATAAGATCACATTCCTGAAGCTATTTCCTGTCTGTCTGTCTCTCTGTCTCTCAGTTCGTCCCAGCCTCTGTTGGACCAGCGTATCCCCCCTTGTCTCTCTGCCTGTGGTTCGGTGTCTGAGTGGCTGCGAGCGATAAAGATGGAGAGATATGAGCAGAGCTTTGTTCAGGCCGGGTTCATCAGTCTGGACATCGTCTCGCAACTCAACACTGAGTAAGATCACCTACACTCACTGAAGCAGACAGTCAACACTCAGGGACACACAGAACAGGCTGCCTGCCAGTCAACACTCAGGGACAC